TTGTTGAGTTTACTCCCTTTGGACAGAGCCAGGCTGGTTGTTTCTTCATTCCCAGTGTTTGTGTTCATATAGACTGAGGTGCAGCAGGAGCCACTGCGTCCATACGGCGACGTGTGCCGCTGGGATGTCACGCCTCCTAATGCATGTACAATATGTGTGACGACAGGAGGTCTGTCCACATTTAAAATAATCATAACTCAGTGAATTTACATCTGATATTCTGTCTGTTGGGTTTGTTACAAATCCCAGACATGTTTATGACACAGGATACTAGGTTAAATTAGAAATGTGGATTTTGATATCAAAACACTTGCAGATTGTTACTAACATTTCTAATATTAGTACTTCTAATAATATACTACTAATATTTGTACAATATATTTAGAATGAACATGTACAGTACTTGTAATTATAAAAAAAATATGAAACCCTTTGTTCACATTGTAAAATGGCTTCCATAATAGCATTTTGTATATAATTTTGGAAATAATGAATAAAAATACATAATTCCAACAAATACAAAAGTGAAAAGATTAAATAAACTTTTGGACAACAATCCATCAGCTATACCACTTATTGTGTACAGCCAGTCCCAGCCGACACAGTCCACGAGGCATGGTACACCCTGCACAGGTCGCCAGCCTGACACATTGAGACTAGACGATCATTCACATTCGGACCTACGGGCAATTTAGGGTCACCAGTCAACTGCACCTGCATGTCTTTGGACTGTGGGAGGAAGCCCACACAGGCACAAGTACTTCACACTGTTAGGTATTTTTAGTCAGATAGAAATTGGATAGATACTTTATGTATTAGAAATGTTTAGTGGAGATAAGATGTCTAGTTAGACTGTTAAATGTTTAGTCATGCTTATGAGTTTCTACAGGGTACATCTGGTCAAGGATAACTAGAGAGAAGAGTTGATGACTGTCAGCAGACAGGATGTTTAATATTATTATTATGATGTGTATAACTGTAGCCTTAGCCATAATATGTTCTTATGTTTAAGTTACGACATGTTACTAGAGGTCGTGTGTTTTTAGCTACACACCACTTAATCAACAGACACACACATTCACACATTGATTTACTTCATGTTTTGACTACTGCTATGACCAGCTGCAAAGCTGGCACCAGAGACGTCTTGGTTGACGTTTTTGTGTAGTATGGGGCTAGCCCAACCGAGGGGATATAATGTATAGGCCTGGTGGGTTCAGGGTCTTTCATCTTACATCTGCCTGTGTGCAGGTTGGAGGTGTAAGATACCTGAGCGTGTAATGTTAATTTTACCTGTGTTCATGGAATAAATCAGCACTGTTTTGTAGTTACTTGGACTGTCTCGTCTCTCAGAGTCAGTATGGTAAAAAGTACCGGGTACAACAACTGTTTGACATGTTTCCTCATTACAAAACACCAGACTGTGATATTTTTAAAAATGTTGTCAGAAAGACTCCAATACGCCAAAACTTTTTACAGCATCTAAAATAAGCAAGGCTCAAGGGCACACACACAAGATCTCTGGATGTTCTTAGCAAATATCATGGTATGTGTTTTCTAATAAGGAAACGTGTCAACCAGTGTAGCGGTGAATTCCCCTGATGTGTTTTTAGTTGTTTTTGAACAACAGTGGTCTAAGGCACTGTTAGGTATTTACTGATATTATGATTATGCTGCTATTAACACTATTGTTAAACTTTGTTGGAAAGATACAATTCATTAAAAAATATTTAACTGTCATTGCCTTGATGAGTGGCAGTTCCCTAACATTGTTGTTTAATCAAATGACCAAAAATGAATTGTTCTACAGGATCTTTTTGAAAAACATAATTACACCGCACCATGTGTGGCCTGCTGTTTACACTTTGCTTGAAGAATACCAGATTAAGGGGAGCCCAGCTCAGCAGCTAATTTTTGCCCCGTAATAGGTTAAACTGGCCATACAGTTTTGAAGTGGTTTCTTTCAGTAAAATGTCCTTGTCCAAAACTTCTACAAAGTCAGGCCAAGCAAAGAAGCCATCTTGGATGGAAAAAAAACAGCTCATTACACTTTTGACAGCTTTGGCAGTTTATTGTTCCATTAATCATATCTTACAAATTTTGTAAGCAATACCAACTTGAAAAGCCACCAACTGTTAGTAATTATGACTACTTCTATAATCCATGTCATATCTCTTTCCTTTACATCAAAATATATGTATACAGTATGATCCATTCAAAGCCATATCTTCATAGGGCAGTGGAAGATTTGATGGAAACAGATGTGGTGCAGGGAAGTGAAAAATTCAAGTCACACGTGAGCAGGAAAGAGAAGTCTAAAGTTCAGGCAGGTCACACTTGGATAGGGGTTTGATTTTTCTGCTGGTGAGGCTTCATCTACATGAACTCATTGAGGAAACTGTTTACTGTCCCTTCAGGTGTCTGCTCCACAGGCTGTCCCTTACAAAAGGAAGGCACCATGAGGAGATCATGATTCTTGATCTCGAGTTCAACGTCGATGGTGCTACATGAAAGTGATACAAAAAATGCCATGAAGACTTTCCAGAGATATTCCTTATAAACTGTGTCAACGATCAGAATGGCAAAAGCACTGAAAAAAAAAACATCACCAACCTGAATACGAATGATGTGGACTCAGTGAAGTAGTACATGTTCACAGGCACACATCCCCTTGTTGCATAAATGGCATAGTGGCCTGGAGGAGGAGGACAAAGCACATTCAAATTAAAATAACTGTCACAACTCAAGCACATTCTTTATTTTACAGCCTCTCTTTCACCTTTCATGCCTGGCATTGAGCCTGTCCACTTGTTGAGTGTTAAGCCTTCCCCTTCAGTGAATGGCCTCCCAAAGTTTAGTGTAGATGACAATGTGGCGTCATCAGGAATATCTAGAGGATGCATGGTGCAGTTCAGTGCTTTTTTCTCACAGCTCTGGTTTGTGTTGTCAATCTCATAGAATATTCCCTGCCAGATATAGACACAGATTCAAATGTCAAGGCACAAAATGGTTTGAAGTGAATTGTGACATAAAAAAAAAAAAAGAATTACCTCGTCAAAAAACATCAGCAAATCCAAGCCAAGTGAAGTGTTCACGGGAAAGCTGTCGTTGGATATGAACCGTAGTTTCTTACCCATTGAATCATAAGTGAATGCACCTCCTTTCCATTCACCCTTTAAGTTCATCTGGTTTCATTTGTTTTCATTCAAAGAGAAAGAGAGATTTGAATGCTACATTTTCAACTTCTATAAAAGAGTTATTGATCTTGAATATCAGATTCAGAAAACTCACCACAGTCATGAATCCTGACATATTGTGGGAATCTGAAAAATAACAATGTCATTTACACACACTGATAACAAAACATAAACAGCAGACACATCTGGTTAGTTACAAGATCTAAACAGAGTTCTACTGTTGACTCAGATAGAAAATCTAGTGATTTTGAAAGACACCTAACAGGTGAACAACTCAAAATCAAATAACAAAAAGAACCAAGATAAGATAACTACAAATTCTTACCGCATGGCACATGGTGTCCTGCATGGGTAGTGACAGCCAAGCACATGAAGACGAGGAGCGTCACAGCTGCATACATTTTTCTGGTCCAGAGAGAGCCACAAGATACTGTCTGAGATGACACAAAACAATCATAAGCGCATCTAGCGTTTAGTGAAGTTACTGCTCCTTATATAGGGCAATGAACTGGTGCAGTTAATAAGTATTGCGTAAAAAGACCCAGGATTATAGCCTCATGGACTTCAAACATCAAGCTGTCTAAACACATTAGCCCCTGTACCAGCTGGTGGTGACCTGATAAAAGAATATTTTCATAGGTTATTTCTTCTTTTGTGATTGTGCAGCTGTCCTATGTTTTTGTGTAGTTTGTTTATCTCTGCCTGCTCCTCACTTTTAAAAGCATGCTTCAGTGTCATATAACAGGAGGTCAAGTAGGGATGATTATGGAGGATAATCAAGGCTCACATAAGGGAAATAGAGTTGTCTTTAAATAACTATTTTTGACTTTATTTAACTGTATGGTTCTCATACAGCTTCCCACACACCGATGATTGTTTAGAGTTATATAGGCCTTTGGATAATTTGTTTCTGACACAAGTTGAAACCAGTGGGGGGATTTTATGAAACTAATGACGCACTCCTCCATAAGAGTGGTGGACCACAGTGGTTACAAAATTTTTCCTTCTTACTCAAAGTTAGTTGCAGTTTTTAGACCAAAGGAACATACATGATGTCTGCAGATGCTTAAAAACTGTTTAAACTTATGATATTTTAATTTCACAAGGAGATTTTTTTACTCAATTAACATGGTGTTCTTTTTTTGTCAGAGCTTGTTTTCTACAGGACTGAAATCAAAATCCATCAAACTTGATTTTGTGGGTGAGCTCAATAAATGGTAGTTCAAAGCTTTGGAGTTCCTTCCTTCAGTCCAACTCATCTCATATTCTCCTGGGTGTTTTAATCAGTGTTTGATCACTGCTTAAAGCAAAAAAAAAAAAGTTTAAATGTCAGGTTTAATCATTTTTCAAGTTGACAACCCAAAGGGCATTGTGGCTAGTGAGATCTTGAGTGAATATCATGTGAAAGGAGTTCTACTTGCTAGTCAAAGGATTTAATACAGAGATTTACAGTCTTTAGCTAAGCATATATGGGAACACCACATAACACTGTATTATGCCATAAATAAACCACATTTTAAAAACAGCCTGAATTCATTTAGATGCCAAACACCCATGGAGAAATCACTGGTTTTTGTGGACTAAACTTTTTTTTTGTTAAATTAAATCTTTATACATTTTGCAGAATTCCTTAAAAATAAATTGCTACATTTTGTGCAGTAAAATTATGCTTTAAATTTGATGCACCATAATCTCTGGTGCTCAAAAATACAAATAGCTAAGGAAAAGAGTCAGGTGTATAAACAAAGTCTCAGGGCGTAAAAGACAAAGCCGAGTGCAGACGGAGAATTCTTGGACAGCAGTGAAACAAGCCAGCCCACTAAAACACCCTTACAATCTATATAACTGATCCAAACTAAATAGAAGCCGGTGGGGGTTAAACCAGGTCAGAACTGTGTTTTTGTCAGAGTTACACATTATGCAGCTGTCTTTTGTTCTTTTGCACAGCAGTATGTCCCTGGTGTGTCATTGTTTTCAAGCAAACAACTTGGTGCACTGTCAGACAGGTGAGAAACCTAACCAGCAATAACTTGTTTATCTCATGTGTGGCCTGCCATAACCTCTGTCATTGTTTATGATTTATTGCATGTGACTAAATTAAAGATTTATCTTTTCCATCTGCTAAAGCAGATTACATGGCAAAAAGCAGCAAAAGGCCCTTTCACTTTTAGATGCTTTATTGTGTTGTAGATTTAATTTAAAATGGATAAAATCACCATTTATGCCTATCAATTCAGTTTCAATGACTCATAGTGGCAGAGTGAGAACATGTTTAATTACTGTCATGCAAAAAAAGCACATGTGTAGAATACCTAAATGGTTCATAACAATTTCATAAACACATGATTAAAGTATTGTGCATTTCCCATAAGAAGAATAAGAGAACAGGGATTCCGTGCTATCCCTGCTAGTTATTGAATATGCCTCAAATGGGAAGGAAATGCATAACAAAACTAAAATGGATGCCTGAAACCACAGACTGAAAATAAACTGAGTAAATTCTGTGCATCAGAAGGGTAAGTAGAGGTTATGAAAATGAGGGAAGCCCTTCTTTCTCTTCCGCTTCTGGTCAAGACAGTTCAATGAGCACAGCACAGAGGAATTCAGCTTATTTATGAACCATGACTCACTTACAGATGTCTTTATTTTTTACAAATTCCTACTTTCCAATGTACAGTACAGTAAAGGACAGTGTGTACTGTATATGAGTTATCACCTGTATGTGGAACTTGTTTTATACACTAGCATCATATTATGAGCCAAAAGTGAAGCTGTAATTATTTAAAAAGTCTCACTGAGATCAAAATTCTTTTTACAAGACTGGTATGAAAACATTATTAAACATTTACTCACACAAAGTGGTCATCACTTTGTGGTCATTATGAAAACACTGACAAATATCATCAAAACTATCAGTACAATTTGAATGTTCTCTATCTGCAGTGTGTGGTGCAGGCAGTTCATTTGTGAGATGCTCCTCATACCAGTTCAAAGCTGGTATGAGGAACTTTTAACCATAGTAACCATAGTCTTGGCCTCTTTTCTAGTTATTTACATTGATTAAAGGAATTAAATTGGGACGTTAGGATTCAGATGTTCAAAATAAATCAAATGTAATAACCTCAATTATGCATGATGAGACAATATAATTTTATTCATTGATTCTTACTTGAATACTTTATCACTGATAACGCTATAAGTGACATGTAATGTACTGTATGGTGCTTAGACAAAATAGGTGATAAATACATTCAACATTACAATAAATAATAACACTAAATGAGAGACAGAACAATTTTTAGTTATACCTGACTTGTAAAGGTCTGCAAGCAAAGTAAGCTCATGAACATTTACAGCATCAGTGAAAACCCATGGCCTCAGCTGTGTGTGTGTGTGTGTACAGTACAGTACAGGGAAACTGCCCTGGCCCTCAGCTACACCACAATGCAAAGTGAAACAGCCACACCACACAGAGGTAGGCTGAAACCACCAGTGATTAGTGTGTCTAGTGAAGAGGAATTTTCAAGGACTTTATTCAGAATTTTTGATATTTTGAAACAAATTGCAGGGCTTATGCCACAAAGTTTCAAAAAAGATCATATCTTTACCTATAAGCACTGTAATTATTCTTGTCATAGCTAAGGGATAGATATATTTTGTGGGAAATAACCTCACTCTATCTGCATCCTGATGCCAAGCTCTTGTATGATTTCTCCCACTTGTATTGCATAAAGTTAAAGCTTTTTTTAACTTCATAGTTACTAGGAGAAGTGTATCTGTCATTAGATTTGTATTATCATTGAACAAGCTGCTCTTTTGATTTTCAGTTATATAATTATAAGAATTAATAAAAAAATAACAAGAGAAGCCTCAATAGACTTAAAACACTGCAACAGAAACACATTCTATTAACAGAAGTACTGTTCTATAAAATGCTGCTGATGTTATTAGCTTTATTCAGGCATAACTGTTAATGATGACAGCAGTTAACAACCACTGTGGTCATAGAAAAATATCTTTCAAATATCCCATTAGGATATTTTTACAGCATCCACAACACTCACTTTCATTTGGACATACATCGATCAGGCATAACATCATGACCACCTGCCTAATACTGTTTACATAGAAGTCAATGTGGCAGCTGGTTGGTACTTGTGTCTCTCTGCAGCTCACTGTGCATCTTCTGTGAATCCATTTGCTTCCACAGTTATACTGTCAGGAAAAGCACAGATGTGTCTACAATTCAGTGAAAAACGTGTGTAAAAGGAATAAAAACTGTGGTCGTGAGGACAAGTTAGAGAGAATTATTAGACAACTTCAACGGCCTCACCACTCTAGGTGTGATGTGACCACTACAGCTCCTGACTCTTTCTCTTCATAGAGACCAATGTACAATATTTTTCAAAAATTTTCAAAAAGATTCAAATACATTTGAAGTACAAATGGATTAAAAGTTTAATCTACAGTAGGGCAACCCCATCATTAGTGAGCCGTGGGAGTCCATGATGACCCTGTCGCCAGTTCACCATTTGTCCTTCCTTAGACACTGTTGATAGGTTCTAACCACTGCAGACCATGAACACCCACCAAGACCTGAAGTGTAGGAGATGCTCTGACCTAGTCATCACAGTTTGGCCCTTGTCAAAGTCACTCAGATCCTTACACTTGCCCATTTTTCCTGCTTCCAACACATCAACTTTGAGGACTGAGTGTTCACTTGTTGCTTAATACCCCACACACTGACAGATGCCACTGTAACAGGATAATCAGTGTTTTTCACTTCACCCGCCAGTGGTTATAATGTTAAGGCTCAGATCACGTGGGACTTTAATCGCTGAACAAACGAACCTTTAATATGATCGGTGTAAACCCCTTTATCAGAGCCTATACATGCCCTTCATCCTCTGAGTTCAGTTGAGGATCAGAACTGAGCATATTTGTTCTGAGTTCACTAAATCATAAAGGAAAGACTTAATCATCACAGTATTTATTCAATTTTCAAAATGATAATAGAACAATCCCCCACTTCTCATTACTTTGAAAGTTGGGTGACTTCCCACTCACTGCACTCATCTTTGATTGGGAATTTACCACAAAAGAATAATTACCCACTCCATAGTTGCACAGTTTTCTGGAAGAGAGAGGTGTTCCCTTAGCCATGAGGAAAACCAGAAATATTAACTTTCAATTGTACTTTCAATTGTACTGCCAAGAAAATGCATGACAGGATCAGATTTGATGATGATGGTGATGATAGTAATACTATTACTAATAATAATGATAAAACCAACAACCACAGAAAAACATGTCATTTAAATGCTCAGCCTAAAGATGCAACTGAGGTCATGGGAAAATCTACAGTTAAATGTACTTTACAGGGTTTGTATACTAAATTATAAAGTAAGGTTCTTTGTGATTTTGAAGAATCAGAAATAACTTTTTAACCATTATAAAATGCTTTACTAATCCAAAAAATAAAACATTAATAGAAAAAAAATTTATTGTAAATTAAGATATTAGAAACATGTTCCAGTGAAATAAAACACAAGAAATAAAAAAATTTAGACAAAATCAAATAAGGGTTGGAAAGAAAATGTATTCAGTTTAAAGCTTGTCAAACATACTTGGAAGCCAGAGTGAGGAGGTGAAAACTGATGTGGTGGAATAAAACTGAGGTGAAGGTAACAGTAAACAGTAAAATATAATAAAATAAGAAAATAGCAGGAGAGTTACAAATGTTTATATATCATAAATATATAAAAGGTCACCTTCTTGAATTTTGCTAGCACTGGAAGTGCATCATTATTCAACCTAGAACAATCTGTTTGTGGTTTTTTTATGCCTATACGTCATCTGTCAGATTAAAAAAACATTTAATTAAAATTAAGTGTTACAATCTGTTTATACATCAGAAGCAGAACATCTTTAAGCAGAGTGTGTGCCTTTCATTTTATTGTTAGGAACTATGATAAAACACTTAATGACAGTCATGACAGTGGGAGTCACGGTGAATACTTTTCACTGTTTCGGTGAATTTCAGTCAAACTGTTTCAGTCATTGCTCATCAACATCATGAGACGCCTGAAATATTCCCTTCAGTCAAGACTGAACTTGAAAAGAAAAAGACAACAGACATTTCAGATTTTAGTAGGTTTTAAAAGCTTGCCACTTCAGCTATCAGTTAAATGACTAAGCGATGAAACTCTGGAGGAATAACATAGTTCTGTCATTTATTCATTATATTGTTTAACAAGGACAGTGCACATTGTCACATGCAAATCAGAGCATGCAAGCAATAATTAAAAAGACAGTGATATACAATTCACACTGATTGTACAAGATTGTACACTCAGGTCTGTGTGATGTCAAATATCTTGCTGAATACATACTACTTAAATCCACAAGCTCCTAATCACACAATGTAAATAAAAACTGTTTATTATATGCAGTTAAAATATCACTCTAAATAATAAGCATTATAGAGCAGATTAACCTAAACATTTGATCACTTCTTCATTCCCCACATGCTTGTGACCACAAAAAACATGCTTCTTCTTTGTAGCTTGACTGAGAGCTGCTAAATGGTGCAACCCATAACACTATATTTCTTACAGATACATAACTTCCTCACTTCCGCCTGAATCATACTGGTGACCACAGTGATTCTGAAACATACTGCAGTGAGTAAGGAGAGCGAAAGAAAGGAAGGCTGTAAAAAACTCCAGATTGCCAAGAAACCGAAAGCAAGAACATAACATATATAAACTCTACATGCGCTTCACTGAAGCATGAAGTTATCTTGCTCAGATTGGCATTCACTGCTCCTCCAAGGTAAGCCTGCCTTAAAAATATAGATATTTTAGACATGAATTTAATGATTTTATAAACATGTCATCCTGGAGAACATCTGAATTAAATAATTAAATGGACTAACTGGTAACACAGTGCCCAAGTCAGACTTCAAGTGAAGACTTGTCTAACAGCTGCAGTTTGTTTGTATGCTGGATGAAGTCATATCCAGGATTCACAGTCAGTTCAATTTCAGTAATTTATGTGCTGTTTAGAACTGAGCAAGTGCTAGCACGGTCATGCTTTCATAGAGGAACATGTCGACTCATTAAGAAGGCTGCGTTGCACCAATAATACATGATGCAACCAAATAAAAATGTCAAAATGAAAGGTAGATTCTGTCACTCAGCCGCTTGCAGCAGACCAGCATGTAGGCTGCTGTAACCTGTAGTCTGAAGATTAGGATTCAGAACATTCCACGTACATTTTAAGGTGCAGAGCCATAAACAACAACACATGATTTTAAAAAAATGCTTCTACATAGGAACTATTTAGAGGAATCAAGACCAAACGCAATGTAACTGAATTGCATAAGAAAGAACATGTCTGAGGTCTTTCTGTGGTGGGGGTTGAAGGATATGGATTTGCTTCCAGAAATATCAATGAACTTCCTTTCAGATACTAAGTATGGAAGGTGACACTTGAGTTCCCCTAAGAAAACTGCCGTGTTTAACTGGAACACTGTAGTCGTTCATGCTGGAAGTGATACTGCAGCCCGCCCTTTTCTTTTAACAGTACTGTTTAAACTGACACATCTCAGACAGTTTATATGTGAAAGGCAGCTGAACAAGTCAGCATGGTGATAGGGCAGATTTAATGTAAGAGCGCATGTGTTTGTTTCAGATGACTGTTTGGTGGCGGGCTCTCATCCTTCTCTCCTTCATACTGAACTGTGTGGACTCCCATGCTCTATCACCAGTCGTCCAGAGGAATAAATATTACAACTCCTTTCGTCTCACAAGATCCACCAGAATCCGTGTCCAGCAGCTGCTGAAAAAATATGTGAGTACTCGAGAATACTTTTGCTCCTCTGGCTGGCCACCTTATAACTGTCCAGGTTTATGTTACTACCTAACTACAACTTTAATCATGTTCATTTTAATAGAAGGAGCAGCATTTGGGAAATAAGCATTTTGAAGACAGAAGTCGACAGTTAAAGGACCTGCCGTTGCTTTCTACAGATTTCTATAGCTGGCTACAGCTGCCGGTCAGTATCTGCCTGTGTTTCAAAGAATTGCTTTCTTGTTGTTAATCTGGAAAACACATTCTTAAAATTTGGTCAATATTTCTTCCATTGTTTTGAAAAATGTTTTCTATTATGGGTAGAAAAAGCAAAACCCAATGACATCTGCAAAATGCCTGTTCTTGCAGGATAAAAAATTTTGAGTGGAATTCCCCTTTTAGATGATCAAGCATAGAAAAGGGGTTTGCACAACATGGAGGTTATGTAATCATGTGGCTGTCTCTTGTTGTGCTCTCAGGACTGGGATCGACTGCACACTGCTTTCTTGAACATGCAGATTTACTGGAATATGCTGGAGCGGAAAAGAAAACAGCTGGAGAAGGAGAAGACAGAGCAGGTGATGGCGCGGGTGGTCCGCTCCACTTTACCTCAGAGCATCAAGCACATTCAGCTGGACCTGAGGGACCTGATGAGCCAGGTCAGCAGTCAGGTATCTACAGTCTTCTCTTTGAAATCCACCCCCCTTTAGCCAACATAAAACACCAAGAAAGTAAAGTACTAAGACTAGTCTGATAAAAATTTGCTTTGCTTTCCTTGACAGATGAGCTACATGGAGAGTTCTTGGATTAAGCCAACCTCTCCAACCTCCATGAACCCAGAAAGCTCTAAAACAGTATGGGACAGCCGAGTGGAAGGTTACATCATTCTGAGGGACCTAGACTTTTACCTCACCAAGCTGGCGAGGGACTTCCTCCTACTGGCTTCAAAAACACACTTATGACTCAATACTGAAAACAGCGCTGGTACCCCAACAACATACACATGCACACAAAGAAACAAAAAAGAAAAAACATGTGGAACTGACAAACAGCACCTAATAGACATCTGGATCTATAGTTATGATAACTTCAATCAGGGCTTTTAGTGGCACCGTCAACACTTTACATACAGCACTCATTTGAGCGAGCCTGCTTTTTGTCATATATTACTATTTAAGGACTTTTAGGGGTATTTCCAACAGTTTCTGTCTTACCTCTAGCTGAAAGTTAGCAATAAGCTCACAAGACAGAAAATACTTCCCAATATCTTGTTTTTCCCCAAGCCCTCAATCTACTGGACTTTCCACAGATATATTTACTATTTATTGATATATTTATTAAAATGCTATTTATTTTAAAGTGGTCTGTTTGGATTTCTCTTATAATATGGAGATACACTTTTGCATAACACATTTTATATTTGATAGATACATATTTTTGTGTATGACTGAAAATAAAGAAATGAAGCATTTGAAACTGGGATGACTTTGTGTTATGATTGTGTAATCTTTAAAAAAAATTATTATTTTTCTTCTAATAATGATAATGTACATGAATCAACATGGGCTCTTCCTTTTGTTGAGTATGTTGCGTTTGCTTGTGGTATCATCCTGTCAGAAGCAAACCAGCAAATAACAAGTGGCAATCCTTGAGCTAGCCGACAGGATTACCATTTGCCTGGTTGTTGTTTTCCATTTCTTCATGTGGTGTTGATCCGAGGGGCAGTCTGCAGAGGGAAATCAGACTGAGCACAGTCAGCTGGTTTAAATGTTTTTAATACCAAACCCTGCCTCCCTCCCTGTGGGCTCCCCATATGACACCAAGACAGCTGCTGACTCACCACTAGCAGATGTCCTCGCTTGCCTTTGGCCACCTTCAGCTCTGGGCCCCGGACAAAATCAATGATTCCTTCCTTGCCTCGTGGCATGGTAAACCTAATGCTGCATGCCACACAGGTGGTTACAGAATGAATATGGGATAAGAAATGTTGGACTGGCAGCAGCTATAAACTACATCTGACACTGAACTGACCTGCCCGGACTGATGTTGACGTAGTTGACCTTGCTGGCCATCATGGCTAGTTTCGTCACCACCTCAATCACATGGTTGCAGTGCAGAATAGCGTCACCCTGAAGGAGGCACAGTTGGACTTTGAGTGTTTGCATGGTTGTATATTTAACAGTCATGACTGCTGTGTCCCACTGTACCTTCTGCTTATTGTCCTCATTGGGCATGTGTAGGACAATCATCCCATCACTAAGAGAGCTCACAGAGATGCCTGTTAACAAAACAAACCTGGCTTTGACTCACTGAACTAAAGAACACAGTCAAAATGAAGGAAACTGTTCAGTAAATATAATGCTACATTTATTACTTATTCAACATCAGTAACAGCTAATCTAAAGAAATAAGGTAACTACCATATCTTTTTATTCTCAGTTAAAAGTTTCTTTGGTTAAAAAATAATTTTTAAAATGTTTTTCTGTTAAAGCATGGCATGAGCTTTAGACACACTTGCCACTTGGTTACGATGAATATTTCTTCAAAAGTACACAGTGCTGGTTTTCACCTCTCACAGCTGTGTAGTCAATCCTCTGCTTGATCTTGGTCCTGTCCACCAGCACAGCAAAGGTGTTAGCGAGAAGCAGCTGGCGAGGGCGAGGCTTGAACCCCCTCCTGTCATACTTTGTGACTGGAACACCATACTGAGAAGCACAAGAGACACATTACTACCAGGCAGCATTCATAACCATCATCGCATAAAAAATTAAGTCCCACCTGGACTTTTTCACTGCCGAGGGTCTGGATGACTTTGAGACTGATTTGCTCAGGTTCTATGTAAAGCAAAGGGAAAAAAACCTCTGTCAGTGCCATGTGTCATTTGATGCATCTGTATGTACATCTCTCCTGTATGGTGTCAAGTGTGTGCAGAGCTAATGAATGCGTGCATGAACATGTACCGAGCCTTGAGTCCAAAAACAGCCTGCCAACACTCTGAGGGTAGTTGTCTTTCTGATCCTTAAAGATTCCACTGGCCACAACCTTCTGCATCATCTAGAAGAAAGACAAAAAACAAGCAAGATGAAAACTTAGCAGATTTATTATTTTTTAAACAATGAGTATGGTCTCATCTTCTGTGGTCAGTGTACCTGCTTCTTCCATTCAGGCTGGACCCTCCTGCAGTATTTTATGACCATGTTTTTCATGTGCAGCCTCCGCAGGTGCTCAGACGCCTGTAGTGCACCATGTAGAAGTTTGCATTAATAACTCTATAGATTTGCACGCTTACTGTACAATGATGTCAGTCAGCAGGGTGACTCTCTGTGTGTAGGGCTGTTTGTACCTCAGTGACAGAGGGAGGAGGTGTCGGCCAACTTTTGTCCAAAACGCTCTTGGGCAGGTTTTTACGTAGATTTTTGAGGAAGGAGTAGCGTACATGATCCAGGAAATATTCATTCTCAAGGCAGTATTCCTCATGACGGTAGATGAAGCCTTTTATGAACCTGATTAAAGAAAACAGATACAAGGAAAGAAACTACCTATACATGTAAAATGCAGCATTAAAAATGCATACAAAAACAAAGTATCAGTCAAGTACCTGCGTATTAAGTCAGCGGCCTGTCGACGCCTGTTAGCCCGCCGGCGTGCTTTCATCCCTCGCCACCCTGACTGGATCGTTATCACTATACATACACATACATGCATATATTAACACCAAGGCACTTAATAAATCCCAATGTTAGTCTAGCACAGTTTACTGAAACAGAAAGTCACCACAGGCCCAAATAGACATTTTGCAATGGTGAAATAAAGTAAAATGTACACATAATAAAGGTTTGTTTGCAAAGGATGAATATGATAAGAACATAAAATATACTGGCATAATAAACCTGGCCATTACTGTGTAGTAAACTGTCAGGGTGGGGGGACTCTGACCTGCACGTCTGATGCGTTGGTACTTGGCTCTCTCCCTGTAGCCTCTCCATGATGTCTGCAGGGTCAAAGCTGATGCACAACCCAAAAAAAAAAGGATGGATTCATGCTTTTCCATCTACAGTAGGTGTTTCAGTAAAGGAGATGCCTCCTGCTCAAACATGCCAGGTAGGATTTGAAGTGTTGTCATTGTTGAAAACGTAGCTTATTTGTCAGTTTTTTTGTGTGTTTGTTCCCCCCGTTGAGATGTGTTTCCTTTGTTCAAAACTCGATTAGCATAATTTTAGGATTCAGGTTAGGTAAAACACATCTTGAAGGGGAAAAGGACTTCAACACAACAGCAGGAGGTGTGCACGTTCTTGAACTATCCTCTCGTTTTTAGGAAGAGGTTCTAGGGTTTTATTGTTCTAAAATAATTACAGACTATTTGGAGTTATAGTGGGTGCAAAGCTAATCTAGAGGTACCCAAGATTAATCATTAAATGGCAGGAAATTAACATGCCATGGCATAATCTAATCTGGGACTGACAGACATTAGCAGTGAGTAGAGGCAATTCATTGTTGGTTTTAGTCTCTGTATGGGGAATGTAATACAGAAAATGGCCGACCTTATCTGTTAATAGGTCGTGCTGAGCATTCATTATACAGTCATGGTGTTTAAAATACATTCATTGTAACTGACTGATAATTGCAGTGAGAAGATTGCTGTTTTATAGATGTCACAATTCAGCCTTTAGCTGGGAGTCATTAGCTTTCATTTCTTTTCAGTTGTGATACCCCAGTGTTTACTATCTTAACCATGGTTACTTACCCATCTCTGGCTTTTTTGCTTCCAGTGCATCTTCAGTGTTGAAGAGAGTTTTTGGGAAACGAATAAAGATTTTTGATCTGCAGAAAGTTGACATAACACATAAATGATATTCCATTTGATAAACACAAACTGTACTGATGTATGCAGTGGTTTATGTATACCCATAATTATTGTGGGTGGACCCATAATCTAATCTTTAAGTGTGACAGTAAAATGTTGGCACTTTGTCATTTGCCTTCAATAATACATTACCTGCCCAGTTTGTATTCCTCTGGTACGTAGCCAAGGTGGTTGACCAGTGTGGATACACCATCAATAAGTCTACCGTGCCAGTTGGGCCACGTCTCAGGACACAGGGGCTTATATCTAAGGGCATTGGTGTATAAATATAACAGACAGAAAGCTGACCAGGAAGGAAACAGAATTAACAGTTCCTGAGGCTGTAAGTCATTCAGAGAGAAAATCAGTCACCTCTGCAGGAAGGCTTCAAAGCGACGTCGATATGCAAAGCCTGCTCTCCTGACCCTGAGGTTTTCCATCAGGCCTAGGTACTTCACCTGGTGTCTGACCAGAACTTCATCAAACCTTCCTGCAGGGAGTTATATTTTTCACTGCTGATAATGATACACGGGGCAATTTGTGCACATATATACAATATACGTTATGTTATTAATGCAAACCCAACTGTTCCCATAGTCTTTCACATTTAAACACTCCCATACAATGGGATGCTTCTTTAATTATGTAATTGTTGTGTTGCTTAATTTTATTAACATCAGCTTTAACTCTTAATCAAAATTAATCAGTGCATGAGAACAATATTTTTATTTAAAAGATAACATTAGAGACGGGGGTGAGGGCAGACAGCCACTCACCTTTATATCTAGGGGCAATTTAGAGTCACCAGTCAACCTAACCTGCATGTCTGTGGAATGTGGAAGGAAGCTAGGAGGAGTCCCAGGAGGAAACAAGCAGAGAGAGAACATGCAAATTCCACACAGAGCCCAGAACATCCTTGCTGTGAGGTAACAGTTCTAACCACTGCACCACCAGCACTGCCTGTCCTGGCTAAGCTGTTCTGATAATGCTGTGACAGTTATATATTATTTATCATGTAATCCATTATGGCTAACTCACTTTTGTACCCCGAATTTTCCTTGAACTTTATATGGATCTGCCTTAACTTATTCTTAACTGAGACCTGAACATTATTTCAAAGTATGGCTCAGGAGCAGGTCGTCCACTAAGCACAGGGTTTGATTCCTAACTCCTCTGTTTCGCATGCCAAAGTGTCCTTTGCCTAGACATTGAACTGCAAGTTGCCCCAGTGGTTCAGGCCAGCACCTTGCATGGCAGCTCCACCCCCATTGTTGTGTGAGTGTGTGCGTGTGTGTAAATGGATGAATGAGAGGAAAAACTGTATGGTGCATATTCCACTAAGGTAGAAAAGCACTGTGAGAGTGCAGTCCATTTATTTGACATTAACAATCTGCAATACACAACATATCTGGATGTTTTCAAGATGTTAAAGTATACCTGGTTGCTTGGTGTCATTAGGTTTGATGCAGCGCACGTAGGATGGCTCTTTAGACATGAGGATCTCCATAAGTTTCATCAGGCTATTTTTAAACTGAGTAGCAGCCTAAAGGACAAATATATAAATGTCAAACTATGGGAAATTCTCTGTATATTTGTGTGTATTTGTCAGTTTTTGAAAGATACAGACATATGTATATATATTCTTATATATGTATGTAAATGAAATAAATGAAAGTGAGACTACTTCTCACCATCTCTGGGCGTTTCTGATCTATTACTTCCTCTCTGCGGAAACAGTGACTTAGGATCTGGTT